TGACACATGTCAAAGGTCCACGTACCCCAGCCGGCACCCAGGAATCCAGACAGAAATCTGCTAGAATCCCGAGAAGTACCGATATGCTTGATACATGAAACACAGCAACTGTCAACAACTAAACACACCTTTTGAATCACGATCAAAGCCTGGTATTGAAGGGGTCTGCCATGTCTACGCAAAAACATGAGTTCTACCCATCATTTAGGTGGGGATTATGTCCACCAACCATTTTTGAGGGCTTCGCCATTTGTGTGTCTGTGTTTGTTGAGGGCATCATTTGTGGGGTTGGTTTCAAAGGACACCAAAAGGACAACCACCGCGTGTTTCCTTCCTTTTCCTTTTTTTTTGGGGGGGGGATTGTGGGGTTGGTTTAAAAGGACACCAAAAGGACAACCACCGCGTTGTTCCTTCCTTTTCCTTTTTTTTTTTAGGGGGGGGGGAATTAAAACACGTGTTGTTCTTTTCTTTTCTTTTTGGGGGGAAGCATTATGGAGCATTTACATAAACCCATTGAAAGAGACACGGGTCACTCTCCTGCCTCACGCCCCAGTCGTAAGACATCTGCCGGTTCAGCTGCGCGCTGCGCTCCTGCAGCTGTTGGCGTCGAGTTCAGAAATCAGCCCAGGGGTGTCGGTGTCAACTGAAAGGGGGGAATCATCATTCTTAGTCGCAGGATTTAGTCCATTTCGCAGCAATTGGAAACCATGGGAATGAAACCATAGCGTTTATTGGACTCCTGGTATGTACAGGGAGATCGAATCAGAAACCAGGGTTTCTTAGGTGCAGGATTTCGTCCATCCATAAAAATTCCTGGACGCCAAAGGACCGATCATGTTGGCCGAAAAAAGATCGGTGAAAGGGGTCCAGGCTGTTTGGAGACACTTTCAAATCATCCGAACAAGACTCGGTTGCTTTCTGCTCCCCTGCTAAACCACTAGTTGGCAAAAAGTTAAAGTCCTCACATCCGAGCAAAATGCACCAAAGAAGAGGGTGGAGTGAGACCAAGATAGGACTGACGAAAAGCAACTCATACAGACAACTTGTGAAGCCTTGGTGAAGAGCAGCGGACAACTCTTTCGTCGAGCGCCCTTATAAGTGCACAAAGGCCAACAAAGCAAAGCTCAAGACATGGCAAGAGAATCAACCTGGAGTCTCCATGACCCTTTAAAGCTAGGTCCATGACCCATTATTTAGGGTAATGACCCCAATTTTAAATGGTCATGGAGACTCTTTAGTTTGTAGAAATGTGACCTGAAGACTCATGGTTAATTACAAGCTTGGCCCTTGGGGGCACCTTGTTAAGCCAGAAAGCTGAAGCAAAACAAACAAGGTGGCTGCGCGGTGACGCAAGAAGACGCATCTCCTCTGTGCATGATCCTGCTTTAGGGGGTCAACGTATGTTCAACCAACATGGCTATCAAAAGGATGTTTTCAAGAGAAAACTTAGACTTCGCGTCCTACATGTTTCCAGTCAGGTTCAATTTCAACTCCCAATTTCACCACCTGGTCAGTCGCAGTGACCCCACCTCCCATTTGTGTCCTCCTTGGTAAGGAAGGGCAGCAAAGCTTCGTAGAGGAGTGCCGGGTGAGGATCCTCTTGCAAACCTGCGAAGCCATTTTCGCCATGGAGCCTCTGCGTTTCAACCAGCCGAAGTGGTTTCTCCGAATTGGGTGGCTCATCTCTTTTTTCTAAATCGGACCGGAACCCCAAACTGGCGCAACGTTCTTTCTTTTGCTTTCCCCTTAAGACCAAAAAGGCAAAAAATGATGTTGCACCCCCAAATGATGACACACCCAAATGATGTCCCCAATGTTGGTACGCTCAAGCATGACACACCCAAATGGCCATGGCTCAAAGCCCGTACCTCCGGGGAACATCCCAATCCAACCACTAAAATAGGTAACCTAAAATGGGTGGTGAATTCACCAATCCCAACCAAAATGGGATCCCACTGGTGTTGACCCACGGCCATATTCAGTAACACCCCACCCATTGTTTCAATCAACCAACCCCTATTTAGTAACACCCCCCATCCATGATGTTGTTTTGCTAAACTGGGGTTGGCTAATCCGGGGTCCAAAATGGGATCCCGTTCAACGGTTTTGACCCACACCCAAATGATGTCAACGAGAAGCCGAAGATCCGGGGACCTGACCTTCAAGCCATGGGGCTTTGTGTCCTGACGACCGGAAGTCGACCTCCGGGCGACGTCGACTTCGGTAACGCCGAAGCGGGAAGCTCGGAGTTGAGTCTCCACTCATCCAGCTGAAAATAAAATCCCTACCTGTATTCTGACCCGAAGAAAACATGGTTGGTCATTACCCCAAATCGTGGTTGGTCATGGACATATTTTTGAAGGGTCATGGAAACCTCCAGGTAGATGGTGCATGCTGAAATCTGCTGGACTGCTGACGATTGAGGGTATTGACAAGATGAAAGGGCGACAATTATGTTCGTCATGGTTCTCTTATCATGAATGGAAATACCCTCCCACGAATTGACGTGGAACCTGACCGGGGGGGCCTGGTTTGGACCATGTTCCGTTCAAAGGGACCATTTCCCCTACGTCGGACGGTTCCATGCAAAAAGGGTGGGAGGGTATTTTCGACTCTCAAAGGCGACACCAAATCCCTCCGACGCTCAGCCTGCCTAGCACCGGCCGCAGCATGAAGAGCCAAAAGGGGGAGCTACACAAACGGCCTGGGCGCGGAAGCAACCTTTCAAGAACCCCTTGGTTCCTGATTGTGTACCATTTGGCTGTGGCTCAAAAAAATGTGCCACAATGGCACGTTGGTTGATGGAACCAAAGACTAAAACCTGTGTGGCCGCCCCAGCTCCGTAATTTTGAGCCACAGCCATTTGTGCCAGGGGTATCTTCCATTTCCATTCTTTCCAGGAATCCGAATCTTTCCAGAGAACCTCCAGAAACCGAGGGAGAACGGCGATCAGTTTTTGAAAAGAACGATGGTTGAACAGAATTCACAAGGAATCAACCCCTGGATTTGTTGGGTCAAAGCCAGAAACAAACGGGGTCCACTGAAGGTCCGGGAAGCTAGCCGCCGGTGGATTTGGGGAATCTCATGGCCGCCCTTCTTGACTCAAAGGAAACCCAGAAACAAAAAAAGGAAAACAGGGCACCGGGTGGATTTGGAACCTTGAAACCCAGCAAAAAATAAACATGGTTCCCGGATATGCTCTCCCTTCCTGCCATACCAAGCCTGCTCTCTTTTTTTTTCATGGGTCTAGTGTGCACCTGGAACCACTTCAACGAGGATTCGATGGGTATCACAGAGTGGCCTCCACAACTCCACAACCCGTCAACCAAAACTCAAACAAACACGAGTTGCAGCCCGTGTCGTGTTTTTTTTGGGGTTCCCAGACGGCTTGAAGGGATGAGGGTCCGGGGTGACATGCCTAGACCGACTATGACTCAACAGGCTGACCGATGGTACAAAACATCAGTGCCAGCTGGAGCGATGTGGATATTTTTGAGGTGTGTCAAGTCGGCAGCCCCTGTTGCCGAGTTCAACCAAGTACGCCGTGCTCTTGAAAAAAGCAACCCATGGGCTGGAAAGGCGATTTGCTTGTGACCAGGATGTTTTATATTTCTGCCGCGCTCAGGAATGGACAGGCCAACCTTGGCTTCGCCCCAGTCATGCCAACAGAGTTGACACTGACGAGGAATCCTGCCTCGACAAAGTGCCCCGAACAAGTTGCGGGATGTGCTGAGAGGTAGCATTGAGCTGGTTGCGTCTTTGCTGAAAGCCAGCTACATGGCTGTATCGACACCAGGCCCGCCTGTACAACCATTCTTGGGGAACGAGTCAGCATTCCATTGGAACGTACAGTCTGCACATCCAGTGCAACGTACTTGTGTCAGCATTCTTGTGTTGCCGTTGTAAGAACCCGAGGAACCTGTAACTTTCAGTGGATCCAGTGGACACACCAACCACTAAACCAACCAAAAACCACTAAGAACCCAGGGCACCTGTAACTTTCAGTGGATCGAGTGGACACCCAACCACTAAACCCGCTAAAAACAGCTAAGCACCCGAAGAACCTGTGACTTTCAGTGGATCCAGTGGACACCCAACCACTAAACCCATTAAAAACCACTAAGAACCCAAGGAACCTGCAACTTTCAGTGGATCCAGTGGAAAACCACGAACCCGTCACTTTCAGTTGATCCACTGGAAACCCAACCACTAAACCCACTAAAACCCCCAAACACAAAAAAACAACTAAAAACAACTAAGAACCCAAGGAACCTGTCACTCTCAGTGGATCCAGTGGACTAAACCGGCTAAAAACAACTAAGAACCCCAGGAACCTGTAACTTTCAGTGGATCCAGTTGACGCGCAACCACTAAACCCGCTAAAACCACTAAGAACCCAAGGAACCTGCAACTTTCAGTGGATCCAGTGGACACGCAACCACTAAACCCATTAAAAACCACCAAGAACCCAAAGAACCTGCAACTTTCAGTGAGTGGACACCCAACCACTAAACCCATTAAAAGCCACTAAGAACCCAAGGAACCTGCAACTTTCAGTGGATCCAGTGAACACCCAACCACTAAACCCATTAAAAACCACCAAGGACCAACCACACCCACCAAAAAGCTGACAAAAAACCGCAAAAAAACAAAAAAGCACTACGAACCCACGTTGAAGCGGTTGAGCCCCATAGCTTTTGGTGGCCACCAAGCACCACCCCCGACCCCGAACCACCCCCTTTTCCAGGGGTACCTTCCCCATTCTTTCCAGGGATCCAAAGCTTTTCAGGAAACCATCAAAAACCCAAGGGAAATAGATCCGGTTTTTGAGAAAAGAAGGATGGTGGAAAAGAATAGACAAGGAATTAACCCCTAGAATGGAGGAACTCCTGCACCACCCAAGAAACCTGGAATGATTCGATTCCCCTGCAAATATTAACAAAGGTTATGGTTTCAACCATGGTTTCCTTAACCGTGGTGGATTCCGAAGGAATCAAGCCCTAGACCTCTGGGCCTCTGGGTGCCGGGCTCCAGGGTGCCTTAGCCACCACCGGGCAGCAGCAGAGCCGGGGCCGCGTAAGTGGGCCCCGCAGCTGACGCAGGTGGTACTCCGCCCCACTGCCTCGTGTTTGCGGGGCCCCGAGGATTTTTGTCTTGGGCGTCTTTTCCCCACAAAAGAACAGCCTCTTTTTCGTTGGTGAGAAGGACTCCCAAGAAATAATTATATGTTGGGATTTTTCCCAAAAACGTTCTTTTTCGTTGGTTCACGCAAAACAATTGTTTTTTCGTGGGTTCGTCTCAGCTGACCACAGTTTGGACCCAAAACTAAGTAGGGTCTTATCCCAAACACCCAGGGGTCTCAGTTGCTCACTTTGGAGGAAGTAAGAGGGTCGTTCCCGAAAGCAACCGCGAAAAAGTTGAGGCAAAAGGATTGAATGGGGTATCTCAGTGTCATGAAGGAATACCCAGGGTTTTGGAGCAGACCCGACATATATCCACGGGGCTTGGGCTCCCAAACTTTGGTGTCATGACTAACTCACTTGCCCAAAGGACCTGCAAATAAAAGGTTAACCTTTTGGGACCTCTACCAAAAAGGGAGAACCAAAAGGTCAAAAGGTCGGCTTTGAACAACTGAGCTAAAGAAATGGACCAACAAGTGGAAACCAACAGTTTGATAGGTGGATTCGCTTTGGGCAAGTGAGTCTTTCTTCAAGTGCCTGTGGCTCCAAAAGTGGAAGCGGCCCAAAATGGCACCTGTGCACAGACAAAAACCTGCGGTTTGCCGTAACTGCTCCCAACAAGAAACGCAACACTCTAGGGGTTGATTCCTTGTCCATTTGTTTCAGCTATCGTTCTTTTCAAGCATCGGCCGTTTGCCCTGGGTTTCCGGAGGTTTCTAGCCAGAAGGATCCTTGGAAAGAATGGGGGAGGTACCCCTAGCAACACGACATGCAAGCCACAGACCATGCTGTGAATGAATTCCCCGCAAGGATTTGCTCTCCCTGGTATACCTGCTCCAGCCAAGCGACATCTTTGCAGAACAAAAAACTGAAATCAAGCCATTGACAAGCGCTCTTGAGACCAGATCCTGGTTTCAAATCCATGGCCTCCTGGATCTTTCGAAGCCATTTTCTATATTTGTCTAGTGGCACTGGCGGCCTTTGTAACGAATGGAGCAATATGATCTGCTAGAACAGCCAAACCAGCAACCCACCAATCAAGGCCCAGCCCAGCTGGTAGCACACAATGTTTGAGACTTACCAGCAACCCACCCAAGCATGGCACGTTAGCCTTGTCTCCACCACCTGACATGCCTCCAACCAGCAACCACCCAAGCAAGGCCCAGCCCGCCCAGCCGGCGCCAGGCAGGCCAGCAGCGCAAGCCACAGGGACACGTCACACAAACCAGCCCGTGTCTCAACCTGACATGACTCTCAGGTCTGAGACTCGCCTCAGGCCCAGAAAAGCAACCACCGTCCTGTAATTCGCCTGGCCTCGGGGATTCCTGCGGGCCCACGACATCAATTGGTCCAACGACGCCAGAACCTGTCCATGCCTGAATCGCCACTTGACCAGCTCTGCTGCCTGCAGTTAAACCACAGACTCTGCGCGCTCGGCTAGGCCGAGGCGGGCAACGCGCAGCGTTTACAATTGCCATGGCTTTTGTAGGTTATAACCAGGCTTCCTAACCACTTACTAAGTACCCGATCGCCCCTTAAAGTAGGCTGTCAGGATCCATCTTTGTTGGAAGGGTCCAGTTAGTACTCCAAGAAGCTTCCTCCGTCGACTCTGAAGGGCTGGGAAGCACTGAAGGGCTAGGAACCACTCAAGCGGTTGTCTTCACAACCGAATGGCCACGCAGCTGGAAGAAGCCGGATTTCTAAGTACCACCAATTATCCACAGTCTCGGCAAACAACAGCATCATCATGAGGCAAGCGCACAACCCAACTGGAAACACATTGAACTCCGAAATTGATAACCATGTTAATGATATATGTCATACCGACGCGAGCAAAGCGATGTGACTTTCCCCAGCGATCCAGGCTGAACCTGTTTGAGACATGATTTCCGTGCAAATGTTGTGGGAACGACCCACGACGGTGCATGTGCTCTGATCTGCCATTGGCTTCCATCCGGCATGCTGTAAGGGGCCAAACCGATTAAATGGGGCAAACCAAAGTGATGACCATGTGCACTATCATGTAGCCCCTTGTGGTAATTCATCAGAAGAACATCAGCTCATTCGGAAAAGCAAGGGATGCGCTGTCACAAACCCCGAAAACTGATGGTTCTCCCTTGCTTGTTCTTTTCGGAAGCAATCCTGAAAAGGGCACCCTCATAAAGCAAAACAAGTCTATTCGTTCGAGGGTACCCTTTTCACCCTACATTAAGGGGACGCCCAAGGGAAAACGCCATCACTTTGGTGGCTCCAAATCCCGCTTTTCTTGACACAGCCCCCGTTCGGCTTCTAAGTCCTCCAGTTGAGAGGTTAGAATAAGGGTACCCTTTTCTCTGTTGTCTATTTGAGTAGAGGAACCCTCCCAACCAAAAAAGGGTTCAAGGGCACTACTGGGGGACCTAGGCTTTTCTCCCCTGCCTGCCAAGTTCAGCAGCGCAAAGGCACCTGGAGGGGGACAAACAAAGGCATGCACTGAAACACTACTTCTGGGTGAATTATAATATTTCTCCAGGCTGAAATTAAATTAGTTGGTTGGGGGGCTATTCCCCACATAAACCACCATTTGGGGTGAGGTCGTGTGAGTAATTCACCCAGACTACTTGGAAGGGGCGATCCGTTCGATACGTCAGCTAAGTGGTTAGTAAGCCTGGTGAAATAACCCACTGAATGTGAACGGAGACTTACAACAACGGCTTTTGTGGGTTATTTCACCAGGCCTACTAACCACGAAGTACCCGATCGCTCCTTTAAGTATGGTGTGAAGATTGCGAAATCCGGGAGTCTGGCGCCATCTGGGTGGTAGAAAGTTAATGAGGGACCCTCTGGTGACATCATTTAGGTCGAGACTTATGTCCACCAGCCATTTGGAAACGGGGCCTCACTAAGATTCATAGCCACGCAAATGAAACCATAACGATTGCTCTGGTACTTATGTTGGGGAATCGAATCAAACACAGTTGGGTTTCTGAAAGGTGGTGAATGGATCCACCGTATGGTTTGGTTCACTGGTGCAGGTCGTAAGGTTGACTTAGACCAGCCCGGGCGATGGTTTGAGTCCTTGATGTCCAGGCGCTTGTTTATCAAAAGGCCATTCTATAAAGCTCGTTCTGTTCCATGAAAATTGGAAAAGCTGGTTTCAACCATGGCTTGAACTCAATTGATGCAACAACCTCGTTCCTGTTCCTTTTTGGGAGGCCTTAAAGGCTGGCTCAGCTGTTCGGGTGGCCAACCCTAACCTATGAATCCAAAAGGAGGGATACCACAAGGGGGCGAGGGAGGCAATTTCCGGATTGGTCACGGGGTCTGGAGAACCCAAGCAAAAATGGTCTCCTCTTGGTTTCTCTCTTCAAACAAGCCTCATGTTCAGATTCAAGGGAACCGAACCTCAAGAAACACAATGCATCAAAATGGCATCTTGGTATACCTTGGCAAGTGAACCCGAAGACTATAAACCTGCATAACCCCAGCTCTTCAATTTCTCACTTGCTGAGTGGATGGCAAAAAAAAGTCCAAACTTTACATTTACCACTAAAATGGTCCAAACCTAAAGTTCATGAACTCAGGAAGTGAGACCCTACCCTCCCACCAGCCAACATGGAAGTGCACAGACCCCTGTAGAAAGACGACTTTCCTCTTGGAAAGGGCCTGTTTGCACTTCCATGTTGGTTGGTGGGAGGGTAGCTATTCAATTTTGAGCCACACCCAAATCTTCCCGCGCCTTTGTCTCCCTCCCGCCGCAGCACCGCGAGCGCCGCCGCGCGCGGCGCGCGAAAAGGCGTCCAAGCGAGGGGCAGCAAAGCGCAGCCGCCTTTGGGCAGCCTAGGGACCGAAGCGGCTCAACCCCAACTGCGAAGGGACGAAATCCACAAACCGCACCACGGTTACTTGCCCCTTAAAACTCCAAGCCCTGCAACAGTTAATCTTTTACAGACATATAGCCCATGTTACCCAAAAAGTTGAAAAGTTGTGTTTTTAAGAGGTAAGGTTAAGGAAACCATGGTTGAAACCATGACGTTTCTTGGTATTTACGTTGGGGAATCGAATCATTCTAGGGTTTCTTGGGCGGTGCGTTGCATGGATTTCGCAAGGGCAGCCCTGCTGGGGATGGATCTAGGGGTACCTTCCATTTCCATTCTTTGCAGGGATCCAAATTTGTTCAGGAAATCATCAAAAACCCAGGGGAAACAGATCCGGTTATTGAAAAGACCAATGGTTGAAAAGAATGGAGAATCGAGCCCTAGAATGGACGAAATCCTGCACCACCGAATAAACCTGGAATTTCGGAATGAAAAAGTCCTCTGCAAATACCAGCAAACAATGGTTTTTCATGGTTTCAAAGTGGTGCAGGATTCCGTCCATCCACAGTATAGGTGTGGGTTGGTTAAAAGGGATACCAAAAGCATTCTGCTACTTAAGGGGCCCTTTGGGGGGTCCCCAGCCTTAAACTCAAAGCCACGCCCATCTACCTACAGTCTCCTTTAAAAATTGGGTCATTACCCTAAATAATGGTTGGTCATGGACCTAGTTTTTTATTTCGGGTCATGGAGACTCCAGGTAAGAGCCAAAAACGGCCGGGGAGGGGGCTGGCGGGCTTCCATTTGCTTAAGACTACTGGAAAAAATATGTTTCCACTAGTGACAAATTCCTTTTAAAACCAACAAGGGGAAAAAACAAATAAACAATCTTCATTTCAGCAAATGGCCCCTTGGGGCGGTGGATCAAATCCTCAGCCATCCGAAAACGCTCGGGTCCCGAGGTCCCAAGGTCCTTCTTGGCCCCGCGCGCGAGGAGCTGGCGGTTCCAGCTCTGCAGCAGCTCGTGCAGCAGCTTCTCCTTATCTTTCCAGCGCGGATCTACATACAGTCTCCAAGACCCCTAGAAAAAGGCAACTTTGGGTGTTGACCAAGCATTTTAGGTACACAGCTCACCCCTCAAACTGCCCAGAGTCTCCTTCTGACCCTTTAAAAATGGGGTTGGTCATTACCCTAAATAATGGTTGGTAATGGACCTAGTTTTGATTCGGGTCATGGAGACTCCAGGTACCCATAAAAATTGGAGATCACCCTACAATGTTGGGTTGCAAAACCCTCAAACTACCCATACGAACGGGATAACACCCTATGTTGGGTTGCAATAAACAATTTTTAACGTTGGAGTTTTGAGGGTTCAGGTACCCCTTTTACATACCCCCTTGGGGAAATGAACGCCTGAGAGGCCTGCTGCTCATATCCCTCTCTCCAAAAGGAGTATATACCCTTTTTGAAGTGGGTTGGAAACCAGGGAAGCCAAAAGGTATGTACTTCCACCTTTAGATACTTAGACGGTCTGGGACGAATCGCGAAATTGCTAGTAACGCTGCTCACAAGAGACTTCCAACCACAGCGGGTGAAATAACCCACAACATCCATGGCGAACAAGCGGAATAAGTCTCCGTTCAGGCTATTTCACCAGGCTTACTAACCACTTACTAAGCCCGATCACGCCTTTAAGCAGCGTCCTGGTATCAATTTTGGAGCTTGATACTTTTGCTTTTGATGGTTTTGGGTATCCTTTTCCTTAAATCCTTGGAGGTTTTTGGTATCCTTTTGGGCATGATGTTGGGAATCGGTGTTGGGCATGCTTCTGGGTGGAAGAAACATCCTTACTTTTGCCATGGCAATTTCTGGTATGGCTTTTGGAGGTATGGAGACTATACGCCAGTATACTACTTTACCAGCTTGAATTGGTGATATCAGGCACCCATACCGCCAAAACCAACACCTCGAAAAGCCCCTGAAACATGGTATCCTTTTTGGAGCTTGGTGTCTTAAGGCGGTTTTGGGTCACGAAACGCCGAGCAGGGACCTTCAAGGAAAACACAAGGAAACCCAAACCTTTGTAAGGCGCATGGTATTAAGTATCAAGATATCATTGCAGCCCTTGGTATCCTTTGAGCGTCCTGTATCCCTTAACGCAATCTGGCCTTTAACCAACTTTGCTCGAACAAACAAGAGCTATCTGAATTTCAGGAAGAGTTCGGCCTACAAACCCTACCAAAACGCTCCTTTCAAGAGGGAGTTGATGTTTAAACCAAAGCACGAGGGAGACACGGGGGAACCCCCTGAATCGGACCTTTCTTGGATGCCTGGGAAGCACCATGTAAACGGAATAGGGTCTAACAAAATCTGCGGGCGTTCATTCCCTTGCGGCTTCCATTAGCAAAATCGCTTGAGTGGTCTGCGCCGTTTGGTTGCCTTCAAGGGGCCGCCTGCTCAAACAACAAGGACACCGCATTTGATGCCTTCTTCTGCAGCCTGCTTGAAATTAGCAGGATTATTGGCGAGAGCATGTGTCTATTGGTACAATGTTTGCAGGACCCAAGGCAACAACAAAACAAACAGTGGACACACAGATATGTGTCTATTGGCACAATGTTTGCAGGCCCCAAGGCAACAACAAAACAAACAGTGGAAACACAGATAATTTGCAAACGTTCGTACAAAAACCTGAAATATACGGAATCTCCTCCAAAAATCAGATCTTTACCAACAAAAACAACAACACATCTTTACCAATTAGATCGGTGAGCTTCACCGAAACCCGGACAAGTCTTCGCTGAAAAGTCGCCGAGTTGCTGCTTGGGCTGGGCCCGACTCACTTTGGGCCGAGCTCGCCACTGCCAGCAGGTCCGCAACCTCTCGCGTTGATGTTTTCACGGGTGCCGTTCAACTGACTCGGGTGTTCGGATGTTTTTGTTATCCGTTTTCTCCCCCCCCCCCCCGGGTTCTTTGTGATGCTTTTTTGTTTTGATCCTTTGTCAGAACTGCCAGAAACTGCTAGAACCGTGTTCATGAAAAAGTAGAGTCCACTTGCAGTTGCCCAGTTTTACAAGGTGACCACCTTTTGGTACCAGTACCAGAATTAGACCAAAATGGGAACACCAAAAGCTTAACCAGGTCGATTCGCTTTGGGCAACCGAGTATAATGAAACCAATGTGAGGTGATCGGGTTCAGGTCGTCACACAAAGAACACCTACTCAAGTCAGTCATGACCAAACCCGGTAACATGATCTGCCCAGACCCATGTGAAAAGGCGGAATTCCGCGACCATTCACGGCAATTTTTCAATCGGATTTGACTATGGCTAAAGTGGAGTAGAAGCCAAGTTGGCTCCATCCCGAGCGTTACTCGGGATGGATGAAACCTCATGAAAACTGTTTGAACCACCCAAGGTGGTGCAGGAATTTGGGGCCCGGTGGTTTAAAGGTGAAAATTAAGGGGTGGGTGATTTCCCATCTACCCTCTACAACAGGGCTTCAAATCCCGAAGCCACCAAACCAGAACAAAAGGCACGCAACGAAACAAACACAGTGAGTGTCCGAGAACAACACTGGAAACAACAACGGTGCATATCCATACCGGTCAAGGGTCTCTGCGACAAAATGTGGAAAACATACAAGCCATCTTTTGTTTCGTTTCAAACAGAACCCTGCGCAAAGAACTCAAAACACGCAAACACATATACCTGCCCTCAAGATACCTCTAACCAAGGGTTTATGCCCTAAAAGTAAGGTGTGAATTCCCTTTTTTATGGGTAGTTTGAGGGTCCAAGTAGTGTTGATGCGCACTGCAGCAGACAAATCATGGAACCAACAGGCGTTTTTTTCAGCGTCTCCGCCATGCCTTGCAGGACGCCTCTTTGAGGATGGTCGCCACCTGAACGCCACGCTGCGCTTGTGACGGTGGCCACTGGAAACGGGAACGGGTGTGGCATGTTTAGCACGGTTCCTTACATGAAAAACACCTGAACATTGCAACTTGTAAATGCTGGCTTCCTTTTCTTTATTTTGGTGTCGAAAAAGAAACATGATTCAAATAGCACACGCGCATCATCGGGATCCTCGGGCTCGTCGGTGCAAGTTGTGCTTCCAGCTTTGCTGCCGGTCTTGCCACCATATGGGGCGCTTTTGCCCTTTGGTGCCCCGCTGCCCCCAGCTTTGATTGCCCCAGCTTTGCTTGCCCCAGCTTTGCAAGCGGACACCTATGTCCGCGGCTGGCTGTGCCTAAATGCTCAGCTCCTTAGACAGCAAAGCAGAAGCCGCTTACAGAATAGGAGCCAATGGCATCCTTTGTAAACGGCCGTGCTTGCAAACAAACCCAGGACCAAGTATGTCTTCAACAAAAGTAAGTGTCTCTTCAACCATCTTTAAAGGACAAGTTCGGGCACTACATAATGCTGGGACAGAAAAACAACAGTGGTGGGACGAAGCAACCCTAGTCCCTCGTATCTTTTGGAACAACAGACTCGCATGCCTGACGCTATCCACAGTATAACTTCGTTGGACAAAGGCAAAGGTTCCATTGCTTCCTCTTTGAACATCAATCCCCCAAAGAAGACTGATCTCCTCATAGCATCCGTTTCCACATCAACGGTGTCCCTTCAAAGCCCAAAAGAGACTTGCCGTCGTTTAACTGTCCCTCTCGATGTTCCAGCAGGCATAGGGTTGACAAACATGCATAATTGCTGGACCCCCCCCAATGGACCGATTCCTTTTTCTGCCTTTGACCCATAGCAAAATGGTATGAAGGCTGAAAAAAGGAATCGGTGGTTTGGGGGTCCAGGTGCGGGTCTCCTGCAAATGCGCCACTACTATGGATGGACGAAATCCTACACCTAAGAAACGCTGGTCAAGAAACGTTCTGGTTTGAACCATGGGTTCATTCCGTGGTGCGAAATTGAGTTCGCAACCGTGCGCAGAATGCGTTGCAGTCGACTTTTGGTAAGGCAGAAAAAGGACAATCCATCGGCTTTTGGGGGTCCAGCCAGGTAATCTCAGATGCCCCGTGGCCATGGGAAGAAAATCATTGGCATCCTTTTTTGGCTGGTTCCGCCACATTGCTCAAGACCCCACCCCCCCCCCCAATTTGAGTGAGTGGAGCCCACATCCTGGCCGTCCCACTAGGGGGAAGGGCGAAGCATGAATTAAACCTATTTCAAAGCGAACCCCTCCAAAAAGGTTGAGAAAGGGGCACCACTGGCAGGGATCCTTACATTATACACCTGGACTGTGCCTTGTAAATGATGGTTTCCCTTTATGTCGGTGGCAAAAGCAACATATTTCAACTAGTTGCAAAATGTATTTCTTGTAAGGAGCCCTGCTGGGGTTGCCCTATTTTTGACCCACAGCCATTTTGAGAGTCTTCAGTTGTGCCGCAATCCTTGTTGGGTATGTTACACTTTATTTGCCCTGATTAAAAGTTCAAGGAGCCCTGACAGGTTGCAACTGTTTCCAGAACCTCTCCAAAAAGTTGAAAAAAAGAGGCAACCCCTCCAAAAAAAAGTCGAGAGAAGAAAAAAAAAAGGGGGGGCACCACTGGTTGCAACTGGGGTTTGGGTCTCCTGCGCGACGCCAAATCGAGCGCGCGACGCTTCGGCCGGACCTGGCGCCAGGCGCCCTGCAGCTCCGAGGGCGCCTCTTCCGCGGCCACCAGCGCCGTGAGCCTCGGCGCCGGTGGCAGCCGCGAACAGCGGGGGGTTGGAGGAAGCCGACAGCGGGAAGAAAACCGGGCACCTGGACCCCCTTGGCCGACATTCCTTTTTTTCTGGGCCTTACTCCTTTCGCCAACACAAAATGGTAAGGCAAAAAAAAGAGGGAGTCCTTTGCAGGTCCCGGAAGGGGAAAAACGCTGGGTTGGAAGAACGAAGAGAAAGTTGTAGGGGTGCTTGAGGGAAAAAAATGCCGGATGAAGTGTTCAATACAATTCCGCAATGTCATCCCCCACTCCACTCCAAGGATCTAGGGAGGCAGCACTCCCTCTGCTTGTTGGTGAGAAGTGTTTTCATTATGAAGCCCTTGTGCCACTCCAGATTTGCGCCCGCCAAAGCATGATGAGCGGCCGGCAATATTACAATTACATCCGGGCGGTTTAGCGACCAAAATTAGCGTTTTTGGTAGGTCCCTAATTGTATCGTTTTACATGTTTTGGTGCATGCCCTGCGCTTTTCGGTTTTGAATCACACCTCGTCTGCGGACTCATCCATAGCACTGCTGGCTATGGCAGCCTCACGCTTGCGTCTACTACGCGCATTTGCCTTTGCCAAACGCTTTTCGTCTCTTTCGGCGAGCTCATCAAGAGTCAGGGAACGCTTGGCTTGCAACGACCCACGGACAACGTCCAGTACGCGCGGGGGACCAACGGCCAAACCTTGCACCGGACAATGCGCTTTTCCTGTGTGAAGTCACCACCCCGCGCAGGCTTGCCAGGCTTAGCTTGCTGTGCTGGAGGACTGCTTTCAGCTCTTTGTCAGAAAGCAGCCCCGCCCGAAGGCGGTTCATCCCCTTTTCCGCGCTCATGCCGCTAAGCTTCTCACATGTAGGGCAAATGTTCACGAACGCAGGATTTGCTTAAAGGTGGTTGTCGTTTCCTTATCGTGTTGGTTGTCGTTTTGGACTGCTATGACGAGTTTCGACTACCCGCGCATCTGACAACTGCTTGGGGCAGCCATGCTGAGCCAGGACACTGCGATTGCAGCCTATCTCAGTCACGGCCGCGCAAAACCCGGAAAGGCAACTATCTCGTTTTTTGTAGCTCCCTATATCGTTTTACATGGTTTTGCAATATTCTTTTGAACTGAGAGCGTTGCCTGTTGCTCAGATGCTACCCTCTCTGAAGACTTCAGAAAGCCTGCGGCAATGGGTTCAAGGAGCGGCGGCCTTCTTTTTTACGGTGGGTGGAAAAAGACGAATCCTACACTTGAAGGGGACTTAGGGGGGAAAGGGGGGAAAGGATCTTAACAGGGAAAGGGGGGGAAAGATCTTAGGGAGGGAGTATCTGCAAAAGTTTTCCAACCAACATATCACCTCACAGGAAAAAGCGGTTCAACTGGAAGACCCTGTTCCTTTTCAGCGGACCGCTTCCTGTGCAGAAACCCCAGGTCTCAGTTGTTCAGTGACCCCGGAAAAAATGGGAACCCTTTTTGGGGCTTGGACCATTTTTCGTGGGGCAGCCACAAAAAAAGTTGGAAAAAGAATTGGTGCCACTGAACAACTGAGATGGTTGCTTTTGGAGGGTAAAACAAAAAAATGATTTTGCAGTGAAGGACCGGCCTTGTGAGCCCGCCGTGCTTAACTTTCAGACCAGTCAACCTCACTCCCACCGCGCTCAAGCCCCGAAGCCGTTGTAAAGTACGGCATCTTTTTTTGGGGGGTCCTTGCTCCTTTAGTATATTTTCAGAATCGGGGGACCGCCAACAAATTGTCCTCTTTGTTTCCCTTTCTACCGGCCTGACAAGGGCTCCCGCAAAAAGATGGATTGACCCCTCCCCATGGTCTCACTTCCGATCGAGCAAACGGAAAGGTCAAGTCTTTTTGTTTACCACCAAAAACCAAAATGGTCCAAGCCCCAAAAGCGACTGAAGTCCAGGGAACTCAGGAAGTGACGGAACACAGGCTGGCAAGCTGATGCAAGCGCAGCAAAGTGGCTCAAGCATGGGTGGCCTGTTGGAAAAATAGATGGCCCTGGCAAATGCAATAAACCACATCCAAACCAGGAATCGCCCTCTATTTTTTTTAGCAAACCAACCAAAAAAAGGACACCTATGGGCTAAAGTCCCAGTTCCGGAACTCATTTTTTTGGGCTTCCCCGCCAAAATGGTCGGATTCCAAACCCCAAAAAGTGGCGCAGAGCGTCCGAGCTCCGGACAACTCGTCCGCCCGCCCGACGTGGGCCCCCGGGCTGCCGCAGCGTGGCGGCCAGCTGAACCAGGCCATCCGAGGACTCCCCGGAGGCGTGGCCGAAGAGCTCTGACCTCATAGGTACCCTGGTTGATTAATAGGGGGTGTGTCCCCTTTTAGTGGGGATTCATCACTTTTGGAGGGAACACCCCCCCAATAATGGGACGGGTCTATTAATCCTGGGTCAATATTACTCTGTCATGTGCGTTGCCCTAGCCAAGCCTCCGAGTCCTCAGCTTTTGAACACACGGAATTCAAAGCCAGGAGCAAGGTACATGGCAGACACGTCTGGGAGTATCACTGCATGGGTGGAGTTTGTTGGTGATAACTAAAGGTAAAACAAGCCTTTGGATGCCCCAGAAATCACAAGTTATGCAACAAGTTCCATATCTGGGCATGTCTCAAGTGCGGCAACACCGCGAAAAGCCGGCAATCCAAAGCGGGTTCCCAACAAGGCGCAACACCCACATCCGCATAGCAGTCAATCTGCAGACGCCCTCAGGTATAGGTGGCCTTTTGGAAAAATAGATGGGTGTCCCTGGTAAAATGAAACAAACCCCCATCTAAACCAGGAATCGCCCTCTATTTTTGTGGCAATCCAACCAAAAAGGACACCTATGTCTGACCTTTGGGTGACTCATGAAATCCTCCAAGTGGATCAGCCCAAAAGCGGCGACCCTGAAAATCTTGTTGTCTGCCACGAAAATGGTCCAAACCCAAAAAAGTGACTGAAGTACATCCTCATGACATCCTCAGAGTGGATCAGCCCAAAGCAGCTATATTGACACACAAAGCATGGCATAGCTCCCCCTTTACTGTCTTTGGCTTACATGGCCCTGCCAGTTTCTGGTTAACCTTGCTAAGCAGCGACCGAAACTTGTTGTCTGCTACTGACATGGTCTTGACAAGTGACTAGAGTCCAGGAACTCAGGAAGTGAGAAGTTGTGCGCCACTAATTGAAATGGTCCAAACCCCGAAAAAAGACTAAAGCCAAGCAACTCAGGAAGTGAAAATCCAGAGTTAGCTACTTCAAACATCTCAAAGTGGCTTCTAGAGAGGCTTCACATTTCCAATTGACTGGAAACGCCTGCGCTCGATGCCAATGTGGGATTGCCATCCTTATCGCCTTGTCACCTTTCGGAAACGCATTCCCTGGGCCCACGGAAAGTGGCAACCTATTTGCTGGGCACCTGAGGCCGGCACAGGCCAAATAAATCGCCAAACAGCCTGGAGACCTCTGGTTGAAATTTGGTCACGCGTCGCAATCAAACCTGGCACTGCAGTGGTCTACCCAGAGCCATGTGAAGAATTAACAAGGCGGCGCATCCATTTCTGGTTGGGATTGTCCCGTAACGTTCATCTACCCGAATCAGTTTTGAGCAAGTGGCTCCTGGTCATGGCGGAGCTGAGTCCCTCGCAAAGGCCGCTCGTCGAGAACCATGGCAGCTATGAGTTATCCACCTAATGCGGATTTCCTAAGTGCCCCTAAAAAAACCAGCCCAAGTAGGGGGCATGGATTTCCAACACCAAAACCAAGGTAATGAGGTCAAGAACCTTCAACCAAGTGCAAACAAATCTGAAAAGCAGCTGCTGGGCATGAGGAAGTTAATGCGTGCAGGGCTGCACCCGTGAGAAGTGGCTGGCTGAGCTTGAAAGAAAGCTCGCTGGAAAGCTTGAAGCGAAAAACCATAAGGAACGGATGACCAGGGCATCCGACTCTGCCGGCCAACTAATGAGCTGAATAACCATAGGTGGCCTTTTGGAAAAATATATGGCCCTGGTAAATGGAATAAACCCCAGCTAAACCAGGAATCGCCCTCTATTTTTTGATCAAACCAACCAAAAAGGCCACCTATGTAAAACAACCGACAGCTTCATTGGGCAGATGTGCGCCTCGCCATGGTTTTAACTTACATTTTCTCTCATGTCCACCAGCTGGAGCCCGAAGGTCGTGTGGACAGAGGAGACACCTCTCTCAACGAAAAGCTGATTGGTCTGACTTTGGGGGCAGCCGCCGAAAATACGTGGCTTTGTGTTGTGCTTCTGAAACCACACAAAAACAAAAAAACGAAACATCCACACATTCTAGATTGCGGGTGGCTGAGTGTGGCAACTCCCCGTCGAATGAAACCGGCCCCGAGGCATGTGCTTGAAGGTGGCTATTGCACAAATTTGAGATTGCAGCGCTTCAACCCATTCAGCAGAATATCTCAACGAATGTGTGCTTATGCTTCTTAAGACAAAAAAACAATAATGATATGTGTCGCTGGACCCTCAAAATCCCAATTAAACAATTGGTTCTTGCAACCCGAAACTGTTGGTGGATTCCCATTTTTAACCTATAGATGCATATCCAGAAACGCAAGTCACATGCTAGGAAATAGTCCTGGGATCCCTTTTCGCGCTCTTGAAGCCTTTGGCAGGCTCTTGAAGTGCACCGCGAGGATAACAACTAGGTCCTCCAGTAGAGAGGTTAGGGCACTACTGGGGGACCAGGTTTGAATAAGGGTACCAACTTTCCTCAGTTTTGTCGATTTTACTAGGGAATTGAACCCTCCCGACCAAAAAACAGGTAAAAGGGCACTACTGGCGGACCTAAACAACATTCATCAGTAACGTTGGGGTCACATGACCGCCTGCGCAAGCATTGTGCTAGCTAGTGTTTAACTCAACACTGGGGATTAACTTACCCTCAACGATGCATATTTACATACAGGGGCACATGTAAAGGTTGACATTCAGCATCGTGCAATAGATGTACGTGCAACAACATGATTGAAGATTCCTGCGACCCATTGTATCTAGGTTTTAATTAACTAGAACGGTTTGGTGACAACACTCGCATGGAAGATTATGTCTTATGTCCATCATTCATTTTGAGCGAACCGTCATTCCTTCATAGCCATTTCCTGACAAGGCCAGGGCTTTCCAACCGAGGTTTGGACCCGTTTGACTCAAATCCCCACAAATCCAAACCTCCAACTAAGGTTCTCTACCTCATGAATGCCCAACTCATCAACTTCCCGGTTTTGGGGCCGTTTCAGCCAGCTCATCGCGAGCTCGAACACAATCCCCGTTGAACTCTCCGCGTTGGCGCGGCGGAGTCGCCTCCTCTATATAATTGAACATGATTAGCTACATCTAGCTGCCTCCAAAAAATCGGTTGCCAAGCAAAGCTGAACCAAACAATCTGCCAACATCACGTCCTGCCTTTGTTGGCCTTCAACATATTGAAGGAAAGTTTCAACATCAATGGCCAATCAATGAAAACAACGAACACGCTTGGGATTGCCTCAACAGAAAGGAA